AGCACTCTACCCAGGGGGACAGCTTGAGGCTCTGTCTCAAAAAAGAAAAAAAGAAAACTAAATGCTCATATTATATACTAAGAGCTTAACAGACAATGTCTAAAATAATGTCTAAAATTGATAAATGAAAAAACAGCAATAAGAGAAAATATAGTAGGTTAGTATGATTACCAGCCCAATTTTACAAACAAACTACCTAGATTCAAATCCTAGCCTCTTAACAACTATTAATGATCGTGATGTGGGACAAGCTGCTTAACTTTTGTGTGCCTAAGAGTTGTCATCTGTAACAGAAGACAATTATAAACCCCACTTCATAGGGGTTATTGAGATTAAATGAGCTCATGGCTATAAAACATTTATAACAGTTCTTAAAACATAGTAGGTATTACCTAAGTATTATAGATTAGTAATATATTAACTATAATTTGGAAACCCAAAAAGAAATACCCCCCCCAAAAGAAGTATGTAAAGGAGCTTAAAGTGGCTGCCACTGGGGAGAGGAATTTATGGATGAGAGAGATAGGTCTGGGAATGTTTTTGTCCTCATTAAAAGCTTTGTAGACAATCTGTTTTGTTTGAAAAACAATCAGAAATTAATTAAATGGAAGGAAGAGTCATGACTCTCATCTGAAATACAGATAAGCATAACCTTAGCTTAAGTTTGGCAGGAAGACTAACATAGCACAAAGGGCCCAGAGGCAGTATTCCCTAACTGCACAAAGAGCATCTTCTAGGACCCAGTGTGGCCTGGGGGCTGACTCTGCATTCCCAGATGGAGAACGTGAACTCAGAAACTGCAGCAGAAACAATAACATCAAAACAAGAAACTTCCCTAGCAGACAGCTTGTGACTGAACACCAAATGAGCAGTAAAGGGTGTTCAGGACAGAGCTCCATGGAGTGGTGTGGTTAAGAAAGACCTCACAGAGGTGATGTGAAGGCTGAGAAGGCCTTGAAGAAGTTGAATGACCTAACAAGGGCATTCCAGGAAGGCATCCCCTGCAGCTGAGGAGCCAGGTAAGGTTGGGAAGGTGCTCAATGCCAACCTAAGCAGTTGGCTGCTAGTCTCCACCCCCAGCTGCTTGTCATTAGGATCTTTCAGGGAAATAGACTAGTGAAGTGGTTTAAAAACCAGGGCTCTGGATCTGAATCTTGCCACCACGACCAGCTATATAACTCAAGCTAAAGTACCTAAATCTCCCCAAAACTAAATTAATTTATGTGTAACATCAGGAAAAGGACCATTATGTTTCAGGGTTGGTATGCAAATTAAGTGGATATATCAGCAACCCTTAGCATAATACCTAGCAGAGTAAGCACTCAATAAATAGTAGCTATTGTAGGAAACTACAGAATCAACAACTTGATTCTTCAAGAAATAAATTCAAGGTAGAGAGGGAAAAGTTATAGATTAAAAGTCTTTTTTTTTGAGACAGAGCCTCAAGCTGTCCCCCTGGGTAGAGTGCTGTAGCATCACAGCTCACAGTAACCTCCAACTCCTGGGCTCAAGCGAGTCTCCTGCCTCCGCCTCCCAAGTAGCTGGGAGCACAGGCACCCACCACAACACCTGGCTATTTTTTGGTTGCAGCCATCATTGTTGTTTGGTGGGCCCGGGCTGGATTTGAACCTGCCACCTTAGGTGTATGTGGCTGGCACCTTAGCCACTTGAGCCACAGGCGCCGAGCCTAGATTAAAAGTCTTAAGAGAGGCTCGGTGCCTATAGCTCAACACCTAAGGTGGCGGGATCGAATCCCCAGCCCGGACCCGCCAAACAACAATGATGGCTGCAACCAAAAAATAGCCGGGCGTTGTG